CCCCAAAACCCCAAAACCCCAAAACCCCAAAACCCCTAATAAATTTCAGTAGGTTGAAAAATTAAAGAAGTATGTCTTGTTCCCACATTTTTTGCACCAGCCCAGTGAGTTATTATTGATATGAGCACAAGCTTCCCATCTGCATGAATTGTAAGCACGATCATCATTATATTTGCAAGATTAAGTGTATTCACTCTAAGGAATCACTTAAGTTTCAGCTTCATAAGCTATATGAACTTTTGGAAAATCTTGAATCTCATTCAAGATACCTCGTTATGAGTGACAGTGTCTTTGAAGGCCAACAAATGATAAGCCACTTCAAAGTGGAGTTAATCGAGATTAAGGCCAGGATGGCTGAGTCGATCAAGAAGGAGGAATTCCTGTCATTTGAAAAATACGAGAAAGCTCTTATCGGACTGAGGGTCAGGATTGATAATGATAAGAATATCAAGACATTGTCCGTTCAATGATATCAACAAGTAATTTTCAAGAAGCTTAAAGTCTATGAGGCTAAAGACTTATTATCTGAAGATCAGAATTTATCCAAAGATATCAAATTTCAGTACTTAAAGTCTATTGAGGATCCAAAGCAAGAAGAGGGAAAAACTTGTAGTCAAGATCAAGAAAATATATATCAGTTAGAGAATCTAAGAGCAAAGTATCTTAAAGAGCAAAACAAACTCTGAGGTAATAGAGTTCTCGAGCTTGACCTAAGTCGTAGCCAAGACGTTGACTTCATGAAGGAATGCATTAACAAAAATATAAAGCTCCCAAAAATACAAGCATTCGGTTTCGCGGATATAAACCAGGAGAGTGAAATATTCAGACAATATGTTGAAGAATGCTTTCTCGATAATGTATTTATTGAACTACATGTTCAAGTAGATGATTTCACTCATTTCTCTGATTATTCAAGTAGTTTCAAGAAGCTTTTACACTGTTCACCAAAGATACTCTCTCTGACAAGATTTATCGTCTCACACAAAGACTTGAAAGCTATTAAAGATACTGACCCTAAGAATAAGCGTGTCTTCTGTATGACAGACTGCTTGATAATTTCGAATGATGGAAAGAAGCTGTCAATGGTCAAAGGTGAGACGAAGAAAGAGTATAATATCAGAGGGATATTATACACTCCTGAGGAATTGTATAAGATATCCAGAATTATCAGCCCTGAGTAATATTTAACTGAACTTCAACATTATCTGTTTGTCTAGGGGTTTTGGGGTTTTGGGGTTTTGGGG